CACTGGATGCCATATTCGACCGCTTCCACAGTACCCATCTTACCCTTTTCTCTGCCTTTGTGTCTGTCTGCCTCTTTTACATCTTTGAAACACTCTTCTATTCCTCCCCCCCCCTCGACTTTTTTCCACTTTGATGTTCCTCCTCCCCTCCATGAAGCCTGAAGTCAACTACAGGGTTAATGATAACTATCAAAATGCCAGCCATTTGATATAAATAAATAAATTTATAAAAGACTATTTATATAAGACTCTCGATGTTCGCACTCCAGGGCTAATGATAAATATCATAAAGCCTGCCATTTGAAATATATATGTTCGCACTCCATTCCATAATTCCACGCAGCCTCCACTCCGACTTCAACCCCCACTGGACGTGATTTATACGTCCTTCGGCTCCAAAACCGCCACACCATTTCGACTTGTGAAAGCTCTAGCTTCGCAATGCTTATTCAGAGCAAATTAAACGAAATCTCAGAACCACACTCTGTTAACGATATTTTATAAAGAGATTAATGAAATATTTCCAAATACTTGAATAATACATAATAAACCCAAGACTAATCAATGAATTTATATGAAATCTCCGAATACAAAAAATGGGTTTTCCTTAATCGATAACATTCAAAAGCCCAAATTTTTTAGGCCAAAAAAATTAACTTTGGACAAACTCCTCTGTGTTATTCAAATTTTAAAATATTTTCATTGCTGTTGGAAAAAGCAAATAAATTGACATCGCATTAATTGGTAATTCATGACCAATTATTCCATTATTTTTCATTTTCGCTAACATCACCGTGATCAGATCTCTATAATTTAGAGTCCTTCTCCTCCGTCGAAATATGCCATAAATTATATATGTATATAGCGATCACACTTAATTGAGAGGTTGCAAAGATCTGATTTTCCTTTCAGAATAAATATTAGACATTCTAGAATAATCCAATCAAACAGTAAAACTGCTATCAAAATTTTTAAAAAGATACATGATAATTGCTATGAGATTCAAAGCTTTAGCACAAATTGAAATTATTGTTTAATGACTGCACCTTACCTAGCCTGTTTACAGCGCCTCGTCACACCAGCCAATCCAGGTCATAACACAAATAGCCCATAAACTCACACTAAGTCGACTTATGAGATTCCGCGCAGATGCGTGCACTTTTAAACATGTATCCACACCACGTATCCAATTTTATTAAAGAGCACTTAACTAATTGCGTCTCTAAGAGGTAGAAGTTAGAATACATCAAGACAGCATTTTAAATTCCGGCGCGATTTGCAGGTTCATTTGGCTTAATTTATTAAAAACAAATTTTACGAGAGCTATTAACAACTCTATAAATAGGCTCATTGACTTTCTAAGTTCTAGACATGTTGGAAATGAAGACGCTCAGAAATCCAGACAGTAGGACATGCCATTTGAAAATCGAAATTATCTAAGATAACTCAATTTATTTTCATAATGAAAATAAAGCAAGATTTCCAAAGCCACTTCACTCTGAATTCTCTCCGAAATCCCAATCCATTTAAAAGCCCAATTTTTCTCGCAATTTCATGAGAGTAATTTTTCAAATAACTTGGCCCTTTAAAGAATTCACCAAATTCTGACAGCCATTTAAATAAGACGCAAACAAATTAGAAACTGGAATAATAAATGTGGTTGAAGCATGATGCAAACAACAGGAATTCCTTCGTAGTTGTGACATTGTTGTTGCTGTTGTTGGAACGATTAGAGAGAGAGACAGGACTATGCGAATTGAAGCAAAATGTCTTGTGGTGGTTTATGCCAAAATCCAGTTGTGAATTTTGAAGAAAAGTGAGAACTGAACAAGACAGTTTCTTGCCAGAGGCGTGGTTAAAGGAAATATGCTTTCAATTCTTTCTTCACGGCATACAAAACCAGTTCAGTCAGCGAAAATTTGTTCATATTTAAATAAATTTTAAGCCAAAAATTTGGTTTTTATAAGAGGAGAAAGGTAGTGCGTCTATAAAATCAACGCTTTTCATTATTTTAACATATTTTTTTATTAAAAAGATGACTCTTGAATGGCTTATTGGTTAGGCAACTCATTTAAATTTTAATATATTTAATTCCTCCGCCGACTATTCGCCATGGAAATGAAATTCATGCGAGTTCCTTATTCCCTTGTCTTTGAAAGGCAGTCTTTTCCTGAAATGATTTTCACCCTATTTAAAAGTTTGCAGTACTTGATTCAATAAAATTTTGTAAATATATTAATAAGCAAATATTTATTCATCAAAACGGCCCAAGATTTAATCTTAAACAAATCAACAATAAAAATTAGTCAAAACCTTGGTTCTATACTTCGGTTTTAAGCATTTAACTTTGTTGAAATGTAGATTATTTCGAAAAGCAGACCAGAAACAGGACTCGCGTTCGTGTTGTTGAAAACCGCTTTCGTAAAGACAGTGACATGCAGTCGAAGTGCCATGTCCACCAGCTTCTCTTCACCGCCTACGCCTTCAAATTCGAAATTTCTCTCATTGAACACTTTCTAAATCCACATTTAGCATGCTCTATCTACAATGACCAAGCGGGTAGTTTGACTAAAGAACTGAATGCAGCAAACAAGTAAGCACTGCATTTCAAGGATCGAATCATGATATTTGAATGTTGGAACGTAAATTGCAGCAAATATTGCCCAATACAGATCGAAAAACAAACAATTGATGTAAGACTATTGGTTATTTTATTGTTACATCTCCTTTATAACTTGTTGCAAATTCTCTCAATAGACTACAACTGCTTCCAAATATTAATAGAGGAAAATGTTCGAAGGACATTTTTAAAACATTTTGAAATTTATTTTCTCCGAAACGAGTCATTTTTTACAATCACATGAGAACCAATGTGGACGGGGAAAGGGGGTAGAGGAGTGGGGGCGGGAATGTTGGTTAGCTATGCCTTTTAATTTATTGAAGTCTGATCAAAAGTCTGTGATCTCAGTTTCTAGATGTCCATTCGGGCGCGTCTAGTTTACGCAATGGGCAACCCCCAAAAGCTCATTCCACCCTAATTGTAAAAATGAAATGAAATTGGCATTTTGCACTTCAAAGACCCAATGATGTTTCTCCATTTATCCGGATATGTGCTACTAGTAACCTATTTCAATTTAAATGCATGATATTTATTATTTCCACATGGGTGGTTTTTTAAAAATAAAATATTTCCGCAAAAATACACCCAAAAATGCTATCATTTTTCTATCCTTTAAATCCTGTTAGAAGTTTAGAAAAAATGAATTGATGCACTTTTAAACTGCCGACCAACAAGCATTTTGCAGTAAGATTATTCAGGGGGATTAGAGATTTCACTTTCTGTTGATTAAGGGAAATACAAAGAGAAAATAAGATTATTTCTTTATCCAACAGAACAGCTTCTCTGTAAGACAGAACTCGTCATGGCAGTGAACTTCTCTGAGTAAACTTCATCGATTCTCCTGAACTCAAATTCAAGATTTCCGTGTTTATTTAAATTGCTTAAATATAGATGTTGCTATATGAGTCAAGTTGTACAAATAGACAGTATTATTGAAGTAAATGAAAGTAAATAATTTCTCAAGGTTTCTTCAAATTAAAGCTATTGCAATTTTGTAGGTTGAAAATTAGAGAACATTACAGCAATTGCACCCTAGACATGAATAAAATAGAAAGATCTTTTTAACTCTTATTTTCTAAATGTCAAAAAGATGTGTAGGAAAATTGGGTTAGTTGTTGTGAATCCCTTTGTCACCTATTCTTCCATTCGAATTTTTGAAAGGACGAAAAATGACTGACCTTATTATCAAACCAGATAAAAGTAGGCAATAGTGCTTTAACAGTAAAATGAGTAGGATAATGTAAGGTCGTTGAAACTGATTAAATCACGATCAATACATATAGTCATTGATGGTTGTTGAGAGTGATATTTTGGCTGATATGTTTCTTAAATTTTTGATAAGAAACCAACAAGTCTAAACGCTGCTACCAATCAAAGAACATACTCAGCAAACCAACGGAATTTAGGGAAGCAATTCATGCCAATAAGCAGTTGAATTTTGAATTGACAAATCAGTTTTTAATGTGCCTATGAACGATTCATTTTGGAGAAAATTTAAACAAACCAGAATCATTTGGGGTCTGAGTTTACTTCCCTCTTCCTAACTACATCTTCAGTTGCAATTCAAGATTTTGCCAGCTCCTTTTGCGAGTCGACAACATCGTGAATAGATCAAGAAGCTAAACTTGAGTGGAATGCATGTGTAGTGTGTAATAGACTTATCTCCACCTGATGCACCCTGGGCAACTTATTCTCATACGGCAAAAAAATCAATAAATCGGCAGTTGTCTTCAAACTATCATGACCCGGCTGTATGCCATATTCGACCTCTCTTCACAGAACTCACCTTACCTTTTTCTCTACCTTTATGTCTGCCTTCTACATCTCTGGAGCAATTTCTGTTCATCATTTCGAATTTTCGTGAATTTGATGTTCCTTCCCTCTGAGAAGCCAGAATTCAACCAAAGGACTAATGATAGTCATAAAGACAGCAATTTGATAAGCATATATATATATATATGTATGTGGGGTGTGCAATAGACTTACCTCCACGTGGTGCACCCTGGGCAACGTATACTCGTACGGCAAGAAGTCTATCAAACCGGCAGTTGACTTCTGACTTCAAACTACCATGGCCCTACTGCTTGCCCTGCACATCTTACCTTTTTCTCTACCTTAGTGTCTGTCTGCCTCTTTTACATCTGTGAATCGCTCTTCTGTACCCCACCCCTCGACTTTCTTCTACTTTGATGAACTTTCCCTCTGTGAAGCCTGAAGTCAGCTTAGTGGCTTATGATAGCTATCAAAACGCCTGCCATTTGAAATAACTAAATATGTACATATGTGTATGTATAAATCAAATATATCATATTTGCTAATTGCTCCATTAACATTTGAAGAATCACCAAGATTTTCATTCACAGTGAGTGTTAATTAAAATAGCTTATTTCATAAAGAAACGTACAGAAGACATAATATCAGTCCAGCCTTCCATGGTGATGCATTGAAAGACGGTGAGCATGGAGTAGCCAATGTTGTCAAAGGAGGTTATCCCAAAGTTAGGTCCTTCCCAGTAGCCCTTGCAGACGTAGCCATCCGGACAGACAAAGGCCCCAGGAGGCGTGCTCTTACCTCCACTCTGGGAGTCATTTGTTATTACGCAAGGCACAAGTCGTGGCACAGTGGGGATGGAGTCGGGAAGTTTGTGAAGGTTGTCTGTGGACAGGGTGCAAAAGGAGGAGATGAGCTAAACAAGTAGATCATGATTCATGCTGCTAATGTCTGCTACGAGAATCCAGCGGACACGCAGCAGACTTGAAGTGTAAAAGTAGGTGAAGCAAATTATTTTGAAAGCAGTTTTTGGTGCAACTTTTCCACTGCTTTCCCACAAATTGGATGAGGGGTGGGGGGTTGAATATATGAAACTGGACACCCAGTCAAACGCAAAAGATATTCCTCCTATTTAGATCCAAAGAAAACTTGAAAAGTGTGAAACGTTGTCATTTGACTGACTGAATGGAAAGTTATAACCTGGAGTCGTTTATTCAATCTTATTAGAATTTTCAGCATGTGTCAAAGACACTTATAAGTTTTCATAATAGCCATGATTTCCGGTTCAAACCGATGACAGAAAGTTACAAATTACCCAAAATTTTAATCATAATTTTAAGTGCTGAGGAATTTGAACTTATTTTCAAGGAATATAAATGAACGGGGAGACATAAGCACGAGTAAACATTACGAGAGGTCTTGAATATTTTTTTAGAAAAAAGATGAAAATCGAAAATTATGTAACAGATAATTTCTTACTCGGATCAACTGTAAAATCATTTGCTCTATAATGGTATAATATCCGCTGTAAACCAGAACACAGTCGAACTTTTGCAAGTGAGTTGGAGAAGGATTTTCATGATGATTTCGACATTTTCCCAGGTTTGGAAAAGTGGTAAGAATCTGCTCAAGTCCGCCATGGAACTGAACAATAATTGCCTTTTAAGGAAATAAGACTGGATGATACACTTGAAAAAATTATTCAACATACTCAAGGCGTTTCCAATTGGTCTCCGATAATTTCGTTAAAATGGAGTGGAAATCTAAGGACCAATTGAAACGTGGTAGACGTACCAGAGACATTCTCCATCGCCTGTTTCCATGCACCAACCCTCCCCACAGTAAAGCGATTGCATGAACTTCAAGTTGGAATGGAAGCAGTTGCCTAGACCACTTTGCTGTGTTCACTTTCTCCCACCCTACCTCCCTCCCTCTCTCTCATTAAAGTTTGATAGTGAAATCGTCTCAATTTCATTTCAATGACGCAGCCAATAATATTTATCTAATCTAATTAACCAAATTTTCAAAACCCGGGATAGTGGATTCGAGGCTAAATTAGTCAATATTTGACTGCATCTTCTCTCGCTAAAGACTTCTTCAAAAATATAGTGAGCACTATTTTAAACCCCCTTTTTCGCAAGGCCTCAACAAGTCAAACTCGTTAAAAGACCACATTAGTGTCATATTAGGCATCCTACGCGAGTGGAATGGCCTGATTCCAGGTGTGTAGATAACAGATCGAAAATGCTTAGTTATGAATAACTGGAAGGTTTTATTTTATAATTAATTAATAATAATGATTTTATATGTGTCTGCAGCCTCTAAATTTCTTTAAATTCAAAAATTAACATATTTCTAAGCTTGGCCATTTTAATTGAAAAAAAAAGATGTTTTTCATATCTGAAATAATCAGAGACGAGCTTCGAGCTTTCGGTCTTTTTATTGCTCATGCTGCGTCTCCAAATTACAGCGAGGCAGTTTTAGCCTTTCTTTTTGTAGAAAACGAGATCTTATCGTTAAAAATTTATCAGCTATCACTGTTTAAATTTTGAGTAAATTTTATCTTAAAGTTTTCATGCCTCTTTCTGATTGATTGCTTTATGCCCTATTTATTATTCGCAAACAGGGGTGTGCGATAGACTTACCTCCACGTGGTGCACCCTGGGCAACGTATACTCATACGGCAAAAATGTCCATTAACTGGCAATTGACCTCTGACTTCAAACTACCATCACCCCACTGGATGCCATATTCGACCGCTTCCACAGTACCCATCTTACCCTATTCTCTGCCTTTGTGTCTATCTCTCTCTTTTACATCTGTGAATCACTCTTCTGTTCTCTACCCCTCGACTTTCTGCTACTTTGATGAACCTTCCCTCTGTGAAGCCCGAAGTCAATTAAAGGGCTAATGATAGCTATCAAAACGCCTG